CTAGCTCTATGCCTGTGACACACCTGCATACCAATTTGATACACGGGCCTACCCCTCTATCTAAGACCCCAAGGAAATGTGCCTGAACACTAAGGGTCACTATGATAAAGTGAACATGGAAGTATACCAGCCCTCTCATTTCCTAACACTTAGAAAAGCAAGAATTGAACCTACACTAGAGGGATCAAAACCCTCCATACTTCCCTTATATTATTTTCTAGTAGGGTCAGCTAAACAAGCTATCAGGCCCATACCCCGAAAATGATGGTTCAACTCCTTCCCCTGCTAATGAACCCCCAGGCAAAACTAGTCTTTATTACCAGTCTCCTCTTAAGAACCACCATTACAACAGACAGAGGACCAGAGAGCTCTCTATGCAAAGACTGATAAGGACTAATTGTAAATGTATATGCATGGACCTATTTTGAAACGCAATGCATATGCAACAGCTTAGGGGACAAAGGGGGGTGCACATGTTCTTTGAGGAGCAATCCCGCATGCTCGGTGCTGAATAAAGATACATACCTACTTAACAACTTTTACAAGTTATGGAGTTTTTTTTCTGCAAATCAGAATGAAAGGGAACAAAACTGGGAAATAATCAAAAACCACCTCCAAGGAGCCTTTGATAAAACCCTAAGACAAGATATCCACTGACTTCACACTCAATTAAAAGATCAGCTCAGAGATGTGCAAACTCTGGAGCAACAAAAGGTGTTGACAGACTTTGAAAATGATCTTGACTAAATTAAAAAAAAATGTTTTCAGGAATAAATTTACGAGTCTGGGTTTTTACTGGATTAGTCTCTTTGGCAGTGATATCTTTTTTAATTTTCTGTCTTGTCCTTTTCAACATAATCAGAGCCGTTAAAGGCACACAAAAATAAGCTGTGGTTGCACTTGCTTTGTCCACGACCCCAAAAAATAGAAAAGGGGGAAATGTTTGGGTAACAGGTGGTGGTGTAAGGAGAGTTAAACAAAGACCAGCATCGGCAGCAACAGCAGCAGCGTCCCTCTGGGCAGCATGTACCTGAGACAGAAGTGGACGAATGAGTTTCTAGTTCAACATAGAACGGTACACTCTTCATGTTCTATTGGCCATGGCTTTGGAGAGAACTGATGTCAAGAGGACAGATTTATTATAGAACTGTGATTAAGCCTGTAAGCTGTGGTTTAGAGATCTATATACATAGCGCTTCTGAATATATCTCAGATTCACCCGCATTTCTGCTGGTGTTTCCCATTCCTTCATGTATCACATTTAGGTGAATCAGCATCCATCCCTGCTGCATTCCCTGTCACCACAGAATTCAATCAGATGCAGCCAGTGACTTTCTACAGCTCATGGTAGGTCAAGTCCCTTACAAATAGGGAGACACTAGAAGCAGCCTTGCTGTATTGCAGCTTGTTATGGCAGTGACAGTGTTGTCTCATTGTGCTTTACCACAGGGTCTGATAAGTGTTTCCATTTTTAACATGCATCTGTCTAGTCTTATAGCTATAAAACTCATGTCACAAACTCACTGTAAAAAGAAAGGAGGAGGGCATTTGTTATCACAGTGTTTGTCTTTTGGAGCAACCAATACACTTTCTGAAGCCCTACTTCCTGGGAAGTGGCTGGACATTGCCTGCTGATAAGAAGTAGAGAACTGTTATAGGTAAAAATGAAATATGCCCAATTCTAATAAAAAACAAAAAGAATTTATTCGTGACCATGATACAGTCCCGACAGCCAACAATCAAACTGACAGCATAACACCCCCGGGAGATAGGCTGGGTGAACATGGATTTGGCCTCTATCGCACCAAATCCCCCTCGTCCACACTGACTGTTCCAAGGGAGCAGTTCTTATACTCTTTATTTTGCCCGCTGCAGAGTCCCTTTGTCTCCTTTTAGAGTCCTTCATATTCAAGTTGGTTCTTTTCTTCAGTCTGAGCTGCACAAAGCCTTCATCTGGGAATTGATCAATGCATTTCCCAGATTCCCAGAATCCTGTATTCAGGTGGCAGGTGTTGATGGCCCTTGCTATCTCAGATGGGTATCTTTCTGGGCCATCATCTTTGGGCATCACTGGATACATGCCTCCGTGAACGACCATCTCCTGTGCAGCTGAGGTTTCCTTCGTATGTAAATGTCATGGTATCTCCTTGCCAGTCTGCCGCGGTTTCACCATCCTGAGAATGAAATACCTACCCCCACCCCCTCCCCCCTGCACAGCCGGTTTGGTTCATATATTTTATAGAAGTCTATATATATTTTATCTGTACGAATTACTAACTATATCCCTAACAGAACTAATCTTTTGTTTTCCATTGTTTCCCTGCACAGCCTTTGCTTTTCTTTATTAAACAGCCTTTATCTCAACTCAGGCTTCATCTGAGGAAAACACAAACAGAGAAACAGAGGATGATGCCCTGGGGGCTTCTTGCTGGCCTAGACTGGTCATGTCTGAGGTGGAGGTAGGGACCACAGCAGTAGGTGGTGGTCAAAAACTGTTCACTGATGGAGGGGCACAGGTAATGCTCATAGAGCAGAAGCACTGCATGCCCAGAGATACCTGCTAGGAAGCCAAGGTTTGCTGTTGTTGTGGTTTGACCCTGGCTGGATGCCAGGTGCCCATCAAAGCCAATCTATCACTTCCCTACTCAGTTGGACAGGTGTTGAGGACTCTCCGTGTGTGGAGACACGAGGCTTGACTCCATTTCAGAAGGCTGATTTATTATGTTAAATATTATATTAAAATACTACATTAAGACTATACTAAAAGAACAGAGAGATCAGAAGGCTACAACAAGAATAGAACAGAATAGAATAACAAAATCCTGTGACTGCTCACAGCCTTGGCACAGGTGGCTGTGATTGGTCATCAATGGAAAACAATCCACATGGACCAATCATGGATGCACCTGTTGCATTCCACAGCAGCAGATAGTAATTGTTTACATTTCTCTCCTGAGGCTCCTCAGCTTCTCAGGAGAGGAAAAATCCCAGCAAAGGATTTTTCATAATATCATAGCTACAGGTGCTTTCTATTAAGCTGCACTGTTGACTTTGTTCCTCCAGTAGCTTCCTGAAACCTGCATGGGTTTTCGTTTTGCATTCTAATAAATAAAATTGATGAAGAAACATTCTCTGGTGCTGAGATCAAGTGCCATGGAGCCCTCATTTCATGCTTTTCAGACTCTGTACCCCTCAGTGTGCTTTTCCCTGCTGCACCATCCTTTGGTAACAATCCCTGCAATTTTGTATCCGTGCAGCTGAGGTTTCCTTCGTATGTAAATGTCATGGTATCTCCTTGCCAGTCTGCCGCGGTTTCACCATCCTGAGAATGAAATACCTACCCCCACCCCCTCCCCCCTGCACAGCCGGTTTGGTTCATATATTTTATAGAAGTCTATATATATTTTATCTGTACGAATTACTAACTATATCCCTAACAGAACTAATCTTTTGTTTTCCATTGTTTCCCTGCACAGCCTTTGCTTTTCTTTATTAAACAGCCTTTATCTCAACTCAGGCTTCATCTGAGGAAAACACAAACAGAGAAACAGAGGATGATGCCCTGGGGGCTTCTTGCTGGCCTAGACTGGTCATGTCTGAGGTGGAGGTAGGGACCACAGCAGTAGGTGGTGGTCAAAAACTGTTCACTGATGGAGGGGCACAGGTAATGCTCATAGAGCAGAAGCACTGCATGCCCAGAGATACCTGCTAGGAAGCCAAGGTTTGCTGTTGTTGTGGTTTGACCCTGGCTGGATGCCAGGTGCCCATCAAAGCCAATCTATCACTTCCCTACTCAGTTGGACAGGTGTTGAGGACTCTCCGTGTGTGGAGACACGAGGCTTGACTCCATTTCAGAAGGCTGATTTATTATGTTAAATATTATATTAAAATACTACATTAAGACTATACTAAAAGAACAGAGAGATCAGAAGGCTACAACAAGAATAGAACAGAATAGAATAACAAAATCCTGTGACTGCTCACAGCCTTGGCACAGGTGGCTGTGATTGGTCATCAATGGAAAACAATCCACATGGACCAATCATGGATGCACCTGTTGCATTCCACAGCAGCAGATAGTAATTGTTTACATTTCTCTCCTGAGGCTCCTCAGCTTCTCAGGAGAGGAAAAATCCCAGCAAAGGATTTTTCATAATATCATGGCTACAGACAGGGAGACAAAATATAATAAAAAGGCCCATGAGTTGAGATGAGGGTAGGGAGAGATCACTCAGTGATTATCATCACAGCCAAAACAGACTGGAGTCCTTCACAGGCTGCAGGTGGATCTCTGTTCCCTCGTAGACCTCCATGGACTGCAGGGCCTCATCTGCTTCACCATGGTCTTCACCACAGGTTGCAGGGGAATCTTTGTTCCTGCACCTGGAGCACCTCCTCCCCTTCCATCTTCACAGATGCTGGTGTCTGCATAGTTGTTTCTCTCCTGTATTCTTACTCTTCTCTGCCTGCAATTACTTCTGCCCAATAACTGTTTCCCCTTCTTAAGTATGTGTCCTGGGGTGACTTTATGATGCTGAATTGTATCCCCATTCATCTGTTTAGCCCAGAAATAAGTTTTGCACCTTTAAGACTGGTTCTGAGAGTGAATGGGTGGTTTTTATCATCTTAGCCATGTTTCCCTGTCTAGTTAAGTGTAGGCAGAAGTCCATAGGGGAGGTCTTCTTAGCAAGAAAAAAAGGGGAGTTGTAGTATCCCATTAACTCCCACCCCCTTGGTCAACCCCCAAGCCCTCAGCCCTGGAAACATCAGTAACTACTTACCATTAGTTAGCCCTCCCAAAGGGAAAAACAGTCTCCCCCATGGACTTGGTGTCGCAACTTCCTCTGGTTTCTCCTTTCCCTGTCACTGGCTTGGCATCCCTGGTGGCCACCACCCTTCCCCTGGAGGCCACACCCCTCTGTCCACCCCTTAGCTCCGCCCCCCCGCCCCTTCCCCTTTATAAGCTGTCTGCTCCACGTGGTTCATCCTCTTTCCTCGGGTTTGTCCTTCAGCTATGGTGTTACTCTGCTGGAATAAAACCTTGCAAAAGAGCCTTTCTTGCCTCTATCGCTGAGCCAGCTGCAGTGAGTATTGAGTGGAGGTTTGACTGCGTTGCCTGAATGTTAACTCAGCTTGCTTTTTGACAGGAGAGGCTTGCTGGGGACAAGGGATAAGCAGCAGCACCTACCACTTTAACACCCACGTTTTTAATTGGCGCTCAACTGGGCCCTGACCTTGAGGCTTTATCTAGCCTTTTGAAAGCGTCTCCATTGGATCTCCTCTGGATTCTAAGTCGCAGTCACTGTTCCAATTCCCTGAGAGAAAAAACCCCAATTTTCTAGGGTATTTCTCTGGGGGCGGCTGACAACCCTCGAGGCTTCGAGGACCAGCCAATTCAGCCAGACCTCCTCTGAGATTTTTTTTCTGGCACACTGAGGTGGTGAGTATAGCCTGGTGACTATCACCTTTTTATATTTTTTTTCTTCCTATTATCTCTTAGGAGGGAAAGGGCTCAATGGGTTCCATGTTATCCACTGAGCAGAAAGTTATTGTTTCCCAATTTCTAATGTCCTTCTCAAATATAATGTTAAGTTCTCTAAGGGTGATCTGAGGGTTCTTTTTCTCTGGGTTTTCAAGTTCTTTCCAGGTGCTACAGCTGAGTTGTCAGAAACCCAGGACATCCCTCTGGATGCCCTGGATGGCTCAAAATCTTGGCAGGGGCTCGGAGACCCTGGCAGGAAGCCAAAGACACCTGGGAATTTGATCTCAACCCATGAAGCAAATTACCAACTCTATATGAAGCATTGCAAGTCACAAAAGTTTAGATAACATAACAGTAGTTGTCTGGTTCCCCTTTCCCCTCTGCCACTCCTCTTTATGTTTCCGCCCCTACATCTGGCTTTCCCACCCCCCTTTCCAACCCTATCCCCTCTCCCAACCCTGTCCCACCCACACCCGGTCGAGTTTCTGTGCCATGCGCCCCATTCTCAGCTACAGTTTCTGCAGTCCCAGGCCCCACCCTCCCCCGTGGCAGAGCCTCCTGCAGTCCCAGTGCCGCCCCCCTTCCCCGAGCCCGCAACCTCCGCGTACCCTGTGTTCCCTCCCTCCTTTCCAGCTGCAGTTTCCACGGTAATGCCAACCCCCCAGCTGCCTGTGGGACCAGCTGTGCCTGCGTCCGTCCCGGCAGCACTTCCCCCTGCACAATAAAACAAAGAAAAGAGAAAAAGGCTCCCTAAAACCGCGGTAATTAGCCCTCTAAGAGTAGTAGCGTGCACGAAGAACCTGGAAAGGAAAAAGGATTGGTAAGTACTTTTCAGGGGCAGGTACAGGGGGATGAATGTGTGTGAATGAGAGGCGGGCTGGTTATCCCAGACCTGCCGAGTGATGAGTTTCCGATGCTGCGTTTTCAACTTTTCGTGAGAAAAGCAGCCAGTAAAGAGATGAAGCGAGAGATAAAAGGAATGAGAGATTCCCCCGGGGTAACTGGGACTGTGTCTCAGGGAGGGGCTGGACCCCTTGGAGGAAATGAGCAGTTTCCTAGCCCAATCCACTAG